CCCCGACGCCCCCCACCCGCGTCTACGGCCCAGACTCCCCCCAGCCTGGCCCCCCCCCCCCTGGGGGGGGGGGGGGTGGCAAGCCAAAGTCCGCGCTAGCACGTGATCCTGTCGGCCCGGAGAGCCCAGCCCAGGTCAAGCAAGGCACAGCATCCCGTGCCAAGCGCATTCAGCTCTGGGATCCTGCCTGCCCGTGAGATTTCCTTGCAAACATCATGTGAGCTGGCCCCACGGCCACCACTCATCACCCCTCTGCCTGCTCTCAATAGAGCCCCGCAGCAGGGAGCAAAGGCAGCAGGAGCCATTGCCCCGCTTTGTGAACCTGAAGGTGCAGCTGGTGAGGGGACCAAGCCCCCTGCAGAGAGGGCAGACACTTCCCTCCGCGTTTCTCCTGCCAGCAACAGATTTCAGACCTGCCTGAACGTCCCTAAGGGTTTCTAGAGGAGGATTTTAACCTGACCGTGTTCTTAACACGGGGATGATTTCTCCCATCGAGGCAAGGGAGGACCGTGCTTGTCTCCCATCAAAAGCGAAGGGTCTCTGCGCAGCTCACAGCGGCCACAGCCAGCGCGCCTTGTGCTGCAGGAGGCAGGTCAGTCCACCCAGCCCGTTCCCGTCTGTTCATTCCCCCGCTGGAGGTTAAAGCTGGGTCCCTTATCTCCCCCATCTCCGTCTGTCACGAGATGCCCCGAAAGTGCTGGCAGGCAAGAATAGGAGGCATTGATAGCCATGAATGAGACAAAGCACTTTTGTGCTCCCGCCTGGTAGCGCCCAACACGTGGGGACAGCAGGAGGTGGGCCTGGCTGTGCCCAGCGGACACGGGAGCAAACACCTCCGGGATCGGCAGCAGGGCCAAGGCGGCAGACTCGCACGCAGCCCACAGGCCCTCCAAAACCAGGGGCTGGCGCGGAGCAGAAGGGCACTGCGAGCAGGCGGAGGGCCCGCGCGATGAGCCTGCCTGAGTCCGGCCTCTGCCACCAGCGTCATTTCACCCTGAGGCATCCCAGGACTCCCCCAGAGAGGTGGCCAAGACGCCTGCTCTGGCTGACAGCCCCTGGCCACGCCGACAAGCGCCAGATGAGCCTACGTCCTCGCTCCCCGCATCGATGTCCGAGCCCCGCGCGCTCCGTGGGTGTCTCACCCCCTTCCCCGCTGCCAGCGGCTCAATCCCCATCGCTGCTCCTGCCCCAAAGGGCCGTGCTGCTTCAGCCTGTGCCAGATTCACAGTCCCAGGAGTTAAGCCAGGGCAAGTTGGACCTGGTCGTTCAAGCAGTCTGGCTTCTCTTTTTTTTTCTTGGGGCAGTCCAGGTCAGATGCTACCCCAAATTCCCTGGCAGACCCGCTCAGCAGGGCAAAGCGCCAAATGGCAAAATCACTGCAGACACTACACAGAGATCTCGCTACAGGACAGTCCTAATGCCTCCGTCCCAGGTCTAAGAAGTAGAGGCGCCACCTTTCACCCCTCCACCTCGTCTGGGGCAACTTCCCTTTCCCCTGGGGCTCTGGGACGGCACAGGGGCCCAACACTAGGTCCCCGCAGTCGCTCCCAAAGACCAGCTTGCCAAGCCTTAAAGCCAGCCTCCCTGGTGCTCCCCACACCACAGACCCGCCAGCACCACTTACTCGGAGGCGACCGACTCGGGAATGGGCTCCTCCAGCAACTCCAAGCTGTGCAGGATCCAGTAGCAGAGCCAGGGTCGGCTGGCATCCAAGCACTGTAGGGATGAGAGGGACCGGTGAGGCAGCAGCAGCTCCCGAGGACAAGCAGCCAAACAGGAAAGGGACTTGGGACTGGGCCTGGGGATGCCAGCAGAGCTCTCACGGGAGAGGGTGCAGGCAGAAGAGCTCCCAGAAGAGCTCTCTGGAGCGTCATTGCAGTAACAAGTACAACCAGCAGGCAACTCTGATCCCGCAGGCAGCCAAGAATCGCTTCGCCTGCCCCAGGGCGAATCTTGCGGCCATCCGACAGCCAGCAGCAACAAATTCAGGATGGCAAATACCCAGCGACAACTAAAGCATCACTGATGGGCTGGATGGTTCACCCGAGCCAGAAGGCAAAGTAGAGAGCCATCGGCCCTGGAGGCAGGACACCAGACACAGCCTGGTGGGCCAGGGGAAGGACAAGCAACGCTGCAGGCACGCCAGGTACCTCGTAGGCTTCGGTCAGTTGTCTGAGGCCTCTCTTCAGGTAGTGGAAGTGCTTCTCCCGCTGCAGGACAAATCTGAAAGACAGGCAGAGCAGGGCAGGGCTCAGCACGCCCTTCCAAGGCACCCTGATGAAGAGCAGACACGAGCCTGGCTGCGGTCATCCTACTGCCCTCGGAGGGGTTGCCTGGCGTTTCACACCCAGGCTCGTTCCTCCTTCTGCCTGCTGCCAGGAACAAGTCTCCAACAGAGCAGAAGTGGGTGAACGGGCCCAAAAGGAGTCGGGAGAGGCCACGTGGGAGCACTTCAAAAGGAGCAGAACTGTCCACCACCTCCTGCGGAGCTCACAGCCTTCGCTTTGCAACCAGGAGACATCACGGCCTTTGGGGGGAGACATACCAGAGCAAGCCTGAGGCATGCCAACAGCCCCTCCCCACCGCCCAGAACATTGTTCCTGCTTTGCGCTGCCCCACAATTTCCAGAAACCCAGCGGACTGAACAGACGCCGTCCCATTAAGGGCAGACAGGGGAGACTCCCCTATGGTGTGGAGCCAGCAAAAGGAGTCCAGGCACTCTGGAAAATAGCGGCTGCGGGGCACGCACCTCCCTGGGGTACGCTGCAGGAAATGCAGCTCCACTGCCGAGCACGCTGTAGTCTCTTTGGTCACCAGAGTCATTTGTTTTTGTTTGTTTTGTTTTTAATGGAAACTTTCCAGCAGACAGAGGATCTAAAGCAGCTGGCCACTGAATTATCTCCACTAGGCCAAAGGACTACGGAAGGCTGTTGCAAGGCCCGGCGTTTGAAGGGATTTAGGCACCCGAGAAATCCACAGAGGCTGGGGGAGATTCCCAAGCTCCCAAAGATTTGGGGGTTTGGAGACAGACTGGTGGGATTTGCTTAGACTGCTTCCTGGCCCTCTAAACACTTGAACAGCACAGGTCAATTTGGGTTGGGTACGGAGGAAAGAAGATACCACCGCATCCACGCATATCCCTCCAGCATCCGCTTTGTGCGAGTCCTTGAGTGGTCGCTTGAAACACCTGGGCTGGCAGCCACTTGGCCAAGTGTCCCCGGCAGGTTCTGGGGACAGAGGCCTGGCACGGGCACCATCACATGCACTGCCTACAGAGGAGCGGAGCCAAGCAGTGGGGCTGCTCTTCTCACCTCCTCGGACTGCTCTCAGCAGGCCCAGGCTTTAAAAGGGAAGGGGGAACCGTCACCAAGCGGACGCGAGGACCGTGGAAGAAGGCAAAGGGTTGACGGAGGACACTAGGAGAGCAGAGGGCCACATGCCTAACCCAAGACGGGGACGCTGAAGCCATCTCTAAACCCTCACCTCTCCTTTGCGTCCCCGTGGGCTCCCGGCAGCAGCTGCCTCGCACTGCACCCATGGGCGCGAGCGGCAGCCCGCTCTGCCCCCGGAGGTGCAGAGCGCTTGGCAGGCAGAACAGATAAACTGCTGTTTTACGCACATAAAGCCACACCGTTAGGATGGAGCCAGCAGGCAGTGCGCCCACCCAGATGAGGGTCCCACAGCCCCACGGCTGCTACAGGGACTTACTGCGAAGTGTGATGGTTCGACTTGTAGGCATTGAAGACTTCCTGCACGATATCTTCTACTTTAGTCTGCAACAAGCCACAGGGTGGAGGAGCGTAACGGTGGGGAGAGAAACAAAACAAGGTTAGCTTTGGAAAGCAATCCCACCTCTCTCCCTGACACAGCACCCTCTGAGCCCCACCACGGCTCCAATCGTGTGCTCCAATCCCACGCTAGAAGGGAGCAGGCTGTATCGGAGCTAGATGAGGATCCTGCCGTTCTCACCTCCAAGGCTTGTTTGTACTGCAGTTGGATGGCAACAGCCAAGCGCCTTGTTTCCCCCCCACAAAAACACCAGCAGGAAAGGAAAGCGGTGATCAACAGCCAAGTACGTTGGGTCACAAGCTTGTCCTCCTGGCCCACTTCTCTGCTCTCGGTGGCCTCTCTCCAGATCCTCCTGGCAGAGACGAGCAGGCTGCTGATGCTTGTCTACCCAAACGTACTTGACACAGCACCAAAGAGCCATCCTGGACTCCTGTCACCCTTAACACGTTCATCCCAAAGTGCTTAATCCTGCACGGGGCAGGGAAGAGATTGCAACTTTCACCCACTGAGATCATCACAAAAATCTGCGTTGTGCTCTACTGTTAAGGGCCAGTCCAACAGCTTGGGACAGGAAATGCCTCCCTCAGCTTGCACCCACACCCAGATGCTGCCCTAGGAGCTGCCGAAGACTCACACGGACCGCAGGGACTGACTGACCACAAGCAAAGACCTGCTGCAGCCGCTCCTGCCTTTCCCACGCGCTAACAGAGGAGCGCTTTTGCCGGGGCAGTTCAGAGCAGGTCTCTTGACCACGATATCTTTGGCTATACTCTCTGAGCTGCAAGAGAAAGGCAGGATAAGAGGAGAGGGTTCAGCTGTCCCTTTCTTTGCATCTTCTGGAGACTACAAGCATGCACAGCGACCACAGCCAGGCTGATGAACAGCATCTCATCAGACCATAACACCACAACTATGAACAAGACAATGCTGCCAAAGGTCCGAGCGGCCCAGCCTGCCGCTCACGTAGCTGGCCTGGCACGCTAGTCTTTATCCACTTTGGCAGGATCGAAGAAACGATCCTTCCCCCAAAAAAAGCTCACTCCCAGACGGCGACGGCAGAGCTGTTCTGGATCCCGGCGCGCCAAGCGCTGTTTGGTAACAACGTGACACGGTCAGGGGAGCAGAGAGCAGGAGGCTCTTGGCTGCCTCGGTTGAGGAAAGCATCCGGTTTCTTCTGCATGGAGCCGCTTTTGCCAGGAGCAAGCCCTTTGCTGCCCAGATCCGCTCCGCCAAGAGCCAGCCGATATCACTGGCTCTGAAAGGCCTCTGTCCTTAAGAGGGATCTGCTTCATCCCACAGGATTTATTCAGCTAAATATGATTAGCTTTCCATTATCAGATTTGCTGTCTCATCACCTTCTTTTCAGGAAATCAAACCAACTGAGGGCCACCTGGTCTCGACTGGCGTTTGTGGGCCCAGGGTGACTTACAGACCTCCTCCGCCAGAGGAGCGGCATAGCAGGGGCCGACACAAAGCTTTTCACTCGGGACTAAGAAGAGATTTGAGCACCGTCAGTTTTCTGTTTTCAAAGGCAGAATTTTTCAAGATGAAGTTTCACTTGTTCTGGGGCCCCCAAGTGAAACCTATTGGGCCACCCGTCTCTAGCTACAGCTGGATGGCTTCGATGGTCCCACCTGTGCGATTCAGGAGCTGCTGGATCTTTGACTCGTTTTTGATTTAACCCTAAAATCCAGTTGCTTCAGCTCCGTAACTACTGTCTTAGCATCGTTCCAAGCCAGGGTAATCTTCCTTACCCTCGATAACGTACCCTGAGCTTGAGAAAACGATGTAACTGGGAGCGCACACAGTAGAGCTGTGGTTTCTCTAATGGGACAGACCTAAGCGAGAAGAAATGACTATGACAGGTCCAGCCACCTCCTGCGGCTAACCCAGGACGCCAGGCAGCAATCGAGCAAAGCAACCAAGATCCCTTTGGTAGCACAGCCCCAAGGCTGAGTTTCTGAAGCCACACTAAGCGCGGCTTGCTGAAGCCCAAAACAAGCTCCTGGTGAGTCCGTCTCCCAGCTACGCCGTACCTGTTGCTGCACCCGGGCGCCTGGACCACCGCGTCCCTGTGGCCAGCTGGGAAGGAGGCGTGCTGCACGTCCTCAGCCCAGGGAGAGCAGGAACCCCACGGCCTGAGAAGCACCCGCATCCCCTTTCTCCCCGGGCGTGGAGGAGAGTTCAGACGTTTCAAGGGATTGCAAACCCTCTTTTTTCGAAAGAAAAGCCTTGCCTTTCTTTCGAGAGAGAGGGGAGTTTCTCTGCACCCAGGCAGCTGGAGATGGAGCAACGGGAAAGGAAAAGCAGCAGCGTGAACCGCAGGAGCGAGGGGGCCCTGACAGCACGGAGGCGACGCAGGGGGACGGGGAGGCAGCGCCTAAGCAGCAGAGCCGGGAGGCGCGGAACAGACCCCCCGGCAAGGCCAAAACCGAGCAGCTTTTGGGCTAAAGTTCAATGCCGTCGGGACAGGGACTGCAGGGCACAGCTCCAGAGAGGGTCACCGGATTCGGCAGCCTTGCTAGCCCTTCCACCGGAGCGGCGATATCCAGGGCTTCCCGCTTCCGCTTTGCCAGGCGCTCTTCCTCACTGTAACGCATCCAAGGAAGCGCGCGACAGCCTCACGCAGGACGGCATCTGCGGTGCCACGCAAGCCTCAAGAAGGCATCGCCCCCCGCCGCCGAGCCCAAGGAGGCTGAATTCACCCACCCCAGGGAGCGGAGGGAGCTTTTTGCTTCTCTCCCAGACCCTCCTCAGCCTCCTTAACCGTTTCTGTGTTCGCCTCCCTCTCCCATCCCACGCCAGCTCGTGGCAAAAAGCCAGAGTCAGTGGCAAGGAAGGAGGAAAAATTTATAAATGCAGAAAGCAGACAAGAGCTTTTTTAACCACAGGGACAACAGAGGCCTTGTCCGCGCCCAGGAAACACTAACCCAACGCGCCCCTCACCGACGCCTT